ATCAAAATGATCAGTTTCTGTTGGTCTGTTGTTGTCTGTTGTTGTCTGTTACTGCAGGTTGTTGTGAAAGATGGAGCAAAAAATAGTTCAAGATGTGTGAAGTACATACTCAGAGATATGTAAAAAAATGATGTGCAACATTTCCATCTTTATATCTTGTACTATTTTAACTTTACTTTTTGCACTTCAGATACCACTCTGCTCCTCCCTCGGCCCGCACCCCCTATTTTTACGTCTTCTCTTACCTCATTAAACTTTAACAGAACTTCTGGTTCTTACTACTTCTTAATGTTGACCCTTCACCCCCAGGTGTGGCCCTAGCGGTGGCCCTGAGTCATGTGACTGCAGAGGTCCGCTAACAGGACCGTGAGAAAGTCAAAGAAAGAGTTCTTACCCTGGTTGACCGAGGTCGGGTAGTGATCCTGACTCTGTCTCCGGCTCCTGTGCGTCTCCTGGGGCATGCAGTGCACCGCGCTCCCCACACAGAGCGCGACCAGCAGCCCGGCCACGGTGCTGCCTGACATGGTGTTGGGAATAATAAGAACCACACGATAAAAAAAATTTAAAAATTTAAAAACTTCCACAGAGGAATCTGTGCTGAAGTGTCTGGACTCTCGTCTCCGGGTCGCTGAGATCTCGGTTGCTTTGTGTGGCTCTCCTCCAGCCTCCCTGACCAGTAACTCGCTCCTCTCCTCCTTTCTCCACCAGTGTGGCCCCAGTGCGCAGGTTACCCGTCGGAGGGAGTCATTTATCTGGGCATGGCTTCAGCCGGAGGTGGGAGGTCCAAACCAAGGAGAGGGAAGGGAGGCAGGCTGGAGTTACGACACAGTGATGGTATAGCTCGACTCGACTCTTCTTCTACGGTGAGGTAAGACAGAACGGCCGGACTGGAAATGTATTACACACAGGTAAACCAATCCCCGGGTCGATCAGGTCCACGTGGTCTCCTCCACAAACACACTTTATTTTGAGAAGAGAAAAAAAAATAGCACTCAGTTCAAATCTTTGGCTTAATGTCGTTTAAAACTTTAAGAAAACATTATCATGATGCCTATAACGTAAGTTTACTTACAACACGCGCGTCACGTGTGTCTTTTCCGGTATTGGAAGATATCGTTACAATATGCACATTATCGAAAGCAATACAATTATTATCGTACTAATATGATAATTATCGTGCGTCTCTGCGGTTCGGTGATGTCTGTAAATGAACGAAAATATACATATGAATTATTATATGTGATATAATAATTAATATGTTATATCACATAACCGGAGGTGGTGCACCCCCTACTGGCCACCTCAGGTCATCTGCCCACTTCTGTGTCCCCTGACCTCCAACCAATCAGCTGACTGTATAAAAAACGTTATTTCAATAGCAGTCAATGGCATAGACTCTGAAAAATGATTTTATTTTTTTTTGCTTGAATTTATTAGATTTTTTTTTTGCTCTCCGATGTCATGTATGTCAAATGTCCCCGTTCTTTGTTACGTATCTGTCATCATACCAAGCCTCGGTGATGAAGTGGTTCAGTGGTACAGCTGCGATGGTATGCAGTGTACACCAGTGTCCTGGTAATGATCTGCAGGAATTAGGTCACATGGTGTCAGCGTCTGGAAACCCTCCAATAGCCTGAGGTTCCAGGGTCTGGAAAGTGTTTCTACGTCCGTGAGGATCGCTGAGTGGATTCCACGATACAAACAAACTTTTGTCAAGAGCTGATTGTTAGGACACGTTTTCACGTCGTCCACTTTGTCATTTTTAATGTGAAGATAAATCTTGTTTGTCGAGGTCAGGGTTTTTTTGTTTTTTTGTTTGTCTTTCCTTCTTAAAGTTGCACAATTGTGAGAGCAGGAAGTTCATTTAAGGTCTTCTCAAGTCAAAAAGGTGTTCAGGATCATGAGTTCTGTCTGTTCCTGATAAGGACTTGGAATCAGACAAGACTTTTTAATGAGTCCTGGTATCTGGACTGGCTTTCTGCAAATCACATCGCAGTACTTTGTAGTTTGAAACATCAGGGTGAAGTTTGTCACATACACGTTTACCTTTGATATAAATCCTCTTCTAGACATTTTGTTTTTGGCTATAAATCATACTGAGACAGTGAACCTGTGGAGAAGAATTCTTTCAAGTCTGTAAATAAATCTCTGACGCATCAACGAAGCCCACAACAGCCGATGATGTCATGATTGTTTAAGGCCTTTGCCATTAACTCCTCACTATCTTGACGTTTTGTCAGTGAGAAGATAAGGAATCGTGTGGAGATTTACAGTATGTTTGGCAGCAGAGTTCAACAAAGACTCGTTGGAAAAGCTAAGTCAGGGAGCGCTAACTGAACGTGAACTTCTGACCAGTTAACACATTTTCCGGGTGTTTACCTTCAGTTCATCTATAAAATCAATCAGAGTGAAGTCGTTGGATGTGCACTACAAACAAATGTCTGTTTATTTACCGCGCTGTGGAAACGTAGTGTTAGCGAAGTCCGTGCATCTCTTATCTGTTGAGCTCAGTGATGAGTAAACTCGCTTTAGTAGGAACATTTTTTTTCTTGTTTTTTTGGCAAAGGAAAATTCCTCCTCGTATCTTCGCTGATTCACTCCCTGGACGATGTTTGTTTCTGTACATGTTGATCCATCAATTACTAATGTTTTCTCACGAGGGGAATTTGAGTCACGTCAAAAAGAGCGGGAACGCAGCGCAGAACGTCGGAGGTTTTTTATTATCCTCATATTTGAAAACATTGGCCAAATTTATTTTGTAAAAAAGTTTTGGACCTCGGTTTTGAAACTGCAGCTTCTTAGTCAGACGGGTCTTAAAAAAAGTCGGGGCTTGGACAAATGGAGGGACGTTAATAATAACGTCAGAGAGAAAACATGGATGAAACAGAGAACGTCATTAAAACGCTGCCGTTTCAGGTTCGTTATATAAGAGCAGCTGCAACAGAAGGAGGCTCACTTTATTGAGGGAGTGATTTATGAACAGGACTAATCTGAGAAAAGGCCACAGAAAGGCCGCACGTGTTTTCTGTTTCAGCACTAAATACGACACGATCGTCTGCATATACATGAACACGAACTGATCCTCACTTTCCTCGCTGTCTTTCTTTCTTTCTTTCTTTCTTTCTTTCTTTTTTCATCAACCCTCTGAAACACACTCATCTATATATGGTCATGTTTACTGAAAACCGTTGTCAGCCCGAGGTGCGGGGGAGAGTTGGGGGGTGAAAAGGTCATCAGATATACAACCACTGACCCCAATTTCACACCTTCAGTGTGTTCCTCGCCATCGTGGAGACCCTGACGAAAACGTTGTTTAGTGTTGAACTTGAACTGAGAGTCTGATGAAATATTACAGAGTACAGAAGGAAGTACAGAGTACACGCAGCTGGTTGTTTGTATTTATTTTCTCTTCTTAAATGACTTTACTTTTCGGTTGTGATTTACTGCGATCCACTTTACAGTAACTTTATTCGCAGACTTTATTTTTCGGTTGTGATTTACTGCGATCCACTGACAGCCTGTTGGAGGAGCTGGAGTTGAAGAGAAACTGTGAAAATGAAAGAGAAACAAAAAAGACAAATGTATAGGTTGTAGTGGGGGTCGGGGGTCGGGGGCCGACGGGGGAGGATTCCTCACAGACAGTGGGAGAATTGAGGAAGGAGCGATGACCTTGAGCGCCAGCGTTCCAGTGACAGTTGGAAAATTTGTGCAGTTTGAGAAGAATTATGCTGATGTGTGCAAATGAAATACTGTAGCACTGCGATTGCATCAGAATTCTGGAAATGTTGACAAGGGTGAGGAGAGGGAGGAGGGGAGGGGAGGGGGGGTCACAGCTGCGAGGCTTCAGCACAACTGCACATTTTCTTCGCTTTCGTTCTTTTTTTTTTTTTCTTCTTCAGATTTTACTCTCAATTGTATTTCTGTTCAAACTTCATCTGTTCTGGTTTTGGTCTTTAGTAGCACTTGGACCTCCCCCTCTGCCTCCCCCTCTGCCTCCCCCTCTGCCTGCCTCCCTGTCGTTCCTTTTCTCTGGCTGGGATGATTGGTGATTACGTACTGTGTCCTGGAACAGGGAATAATTGGACATTCCTCACTCGTTACAGCCACATCCCAGTGGAGTCTCCCTGGAACCTGATTCTCTGTTAATACTCGACAAAATATCAGCTCTGCGTCCTCTACCCCGGTCCAGTCTGCTTCTGTGTGAGAAGGAAAACTCTCTATGAAATTACAAGTTACTTGGTGGAAGAGTCAGACGACCAGTGAGTGACTGAAGGTCGAACCTCAGGGACTCAAACCTTTGACCCGACTCCGACGTCCAGAGTGAAAACACGACACGGTTCAGTCGATAGTTTTTTTGGATTCTTATCAAATAATCGTCAGCTTCCGGCCGTCGCCGCGTCTCTTTGTGCCTCCAGCGTTTTTCTCAGCGGCGCCACCTGATTCACCTCAGTAGTAGCGCAACAAAAGACATTTTTGTGTCAAAATAAAACTTTTATCTTTTATGTGCAATCTGTCATGTACAAACAGGGGGCCCTAGCGCTCCCAGAAACAGTTAGTCAAAACATCCTGCTCACTCTCGGCCGCCTGCAAAAAATTAAAGGTGCAACGCGAGCAGATAATGGGTGAAAGTACACATAAGTACTGCAGTTTAAGGAGTACTGTTTCCTTATCGAAAGTTTCCATGACATAAACACGGAGTCTTTTATTAATCACCTGTGTGAAATTGTTCACTTGTTACAACAGCAGCTCTGGACCAACGTCAAAAATCACGTCACAGTCGCTGCGGTGACTTTGACTTCCTCTTTATTCACTGTGTGAAATAGTACTGCAGTACCACCCTTTCCTAGATACTTTGGTTTCGTCGTTGTTGTTTGGGGCAACAGTAGTGTAAACAGATTTGGTAAATATACTTTACTTTTTTAAAAAATGTATCACTGAACCTGAGCCTTCAGACAGAATGTCAAAAAAACCTCTTTGAGTAAAAGTACTCAAATACATTATGAGTATTTTGAGGCCTTTTTATTATTATTAATTTATGAGCTGTTAAATGAGGCCCGCTCTGAACAGTACGTGTATTTTTTTTCTCCTCAAGAAAGATTAAACAGAAAGAACTTTGAGTACTGCAGTATTTCACCCACCAGTACTTTAGTCAGTGACCCACGACCTTCATCACGTGAGACGGACTTTTCCAAACCTGGACTTTGGACTGTGATTTTCTCAGCCCTGGACCAATGAAGAACATCTGTCTGTTACAAACATCGGTTCTTGTCTCCTGTAGAACTGTTTCTCAAGGTCACTTTAAAGAGGCTTCAAGTAAAGTACTACATGAACGTTATATTCTAGAAGGATTTCTTGTACGGCAGAAACTGAAAACGCTCAAATTTACCCTCCCCCCTGCTTTCTCCCCTTACCCCCCCTCCCTTTCCCCAAGTGAGATGAGGTCAGAGTCTAAGCAAAGATGGAGTGATTAGAAGTTCAGACGCCACAGTGTTGCCGGGCGGATTAGCCACGAGTATCTTCAAACGTGTTTCTAACGGTTCCACCTGGTTCACTCTGGAGCAGAAATCCTTCAGGGCTGAATCCACGTCCCGTCTCACTGTACCACGGAAACTGGTATATGTGTGTGTGTGTGTGTAGTGTTTGTTTACATACTCCATATATATTACACATATATATTTGTTTAACTGTGTATTTAAATGTCGATAAATAAACCAGGAGGATGATTAACTTTGGA